GTTAATTTAATTTAATTTGCAACGTTTCGGACATTTAAAATGTCCGAAACGTTGCAAATTAAATTAAATTAACCTTTTGTATAAATCCTTGAGAAATAAAAATAAGTAATAAGTTATGTTCATTTTTGTTCGGGGACCAACAGGAATGGGGGCTGCTGTCCCTGGACACCCTCCAGTTATGCCACTGGTTATTTGTATAGGGAAAAGTGCTGAAATTTGGAGACAGTCCTTATAAATACAGTTACGGATAATTATCAATGATCAATCACTTGAGTTTGTAATATATGAGATAGAAACACAACATTTTATATTATTATTAAAAGTAAATTTAGACATTGCAATTTGTCCGGTCATTGTCAGGTTTCACCCATAATGGATTGGTGCTACTTATCTGCCACATATTCACCATCTATGAATTGGGTCATGAATGTTGTACACCTGTTTAAATGTAGCTGCCAAAAATGCCAACATGCCATAGTTGAAAGAGTTGGAAATTTCTACCATCTGGATGGGACAGGGTAAAATCCACTAGGATGTGCATAAATTCCAGTCCGGGTTCTTTGCCAAATATTAAGGATACATATTTTCAGTTGGTATGTTCAGCGGATATTTTTATAATATTAAGGTGTATTGGCCTGACAAATTGCAACGTGTAACTTAGGCAGTTTAACACTGCGCTGGTATTTAAAATAAGAATGCATTGAAAATATTGATTTATAATTTTGTAGTGGAATATGGGTAAAAAGAACATTTAAAATGAATGTATAACGCAGGTCACATTAATTAAATACTTTGCATTATATAAATTTGGTTTTACTGTGTTATCACCTGGTTATCACTAGTTGACAGTCATGCCCAACCAATATACAGTGCTATTTGCTTTACAACCATTTTGTTAATATGACCACCCAACCTCAAGGTTGATGGCCACCTTGCTGTTGTTGTGGCCACTTAGGGGGCAATCATTAATCTTTAATGATGGAAAGGTCTCCCGAGGGCTGGTAGGTGGGAAATTCCCAACATTTCATCTTTTCTTGAGGCTACCCCCTCCAAAAAGACATTTGCTTTCAAGACTCCCCTGACATTGCAGGAAAAAATAATTTTCTTCCTGGAAGCACAACCTGGGGACAAAAATTTGCTGCAAACCAACGAGTATTTTTGTACTAAATCTGCATGTACATAAACGTATAGTGTTCTACCTGACGGTTTTAAATTCAAGAAATAATGTCTGTCAAACCATACATTGTTGCGCCCATAGTGGGACATGGGTGTTAAGGTTTCCTTCAAATTTTCAACAGCAAATCTTCATTGAAACGAATTTCCTGCAGCTGTCTAACGTTTCCTGCGAGCAGTGTTCTCCTATTTTTTCTACCCCTGGGCCCTAAACTCCATACAGGGCCGCCGAGAGGGGGGGGGGGATTGCCCGGGCCTCCACCTTAATAGGGCTCCAACTTGAGAGCGAGAGCCTAAAATTGGGTAGGTTCTTTAAATTGGTCAGAGCATTTTTGAAATTGAGGGCCCCTTACAGTAGTAGCTCCACATGCAGTCTAGCTAAGGTCTAGTTGGGTGACTGACTAATTGGGTCTACCTTAAAAATAATGATGTCATAGACATAAGGCCCCCAAGTTTGCTCCGGCCCCGCAAATTCTCTCGGCGGCCCTCTCCATATCAAATAATTGACACACCGTGTTCCCCTTAATTGGATTTAAAAAAAAATCATTAATAATTCATAAAGAAAAGACAAAGGAAATCAATAGCATATCGGTGTTTTTATATCTGATAGAAATCATGTAAACTTTAGCTTTGGTTTTGTCGACTTACACAACGTTTATTTTTAAAATTACTGCAATAAACTCATAGAATGATGCGTCCGTGCTTTATCAGCTGATATGACTCTTGGCTGTTGGTCGTGTTTTAAAGTGCGACTAACCCCAAATATAAATTTTGGTATGTGTAATATTTGGGTCATTCTGAGAAGAAATGTATAATGTATCTTTATAGTAAAAAACCTCATCTTGATCAGCTTTTTCACTGTCAAAGTTGCAGATATGATGTCAATAGGTGAATTTTTGGCACAAAAAACAAAGGAAAACTAATTTGCAATTCACGTAATCGGTAATGACATCATATCCGGAAATTTTGACAGTGAAAAAATTGATCAAGATGGAATTTTTTATTATAGAGATATATAACATTTCTTCTAATGACCCAAATATTATACACATACCAAAAATCATATTAGTGGTTAGTCGCACTTTAATTAAATAGTACTTGAATTCCTGTCCTGTTTATTCTGTCTTGTAACACCGGATTACCGGATGATTTTCCTCATCAAGAGAGAAAAACAATTCGACATTGGGGAATAATGGCACGTAAATTGTTTGAGGTCGCCCTACCCCAGTTTTTGCCAAAAACAGAGAAAGATTTATAGCATTATTGATTAGGTCTAAAATGTATAGTTAAAAATTTTAAATTTGCACCCGATTTTTCCACGCTTCATTCAACAACTACTACTAAAGGAACATCTCCTGAATTGCGAAAGTCTTGATATGCACCGTTTAACTTGCGTGCATAGCTTTTGTATGTATTGTGATTCCAAATTTCCCCACTCAAATACTTACTTACTGTATTAAAACATGGCTTATTTTTAATCAATCTTCACATGATTATACTAAATATTATTTTTACTCAGAAACGGAACCAACAAAACCAAGGTGTGTGTACACAAATGCAGAGGACAGAAGTTCTGTTGCATGCTAAGGCAAAACATTGAAATTTAATTAGTCATGTCACTCGTGTGATACTGGACGTTCGGCTGGTAATTTGGTCGAAAATTTGATCTCTGTTAGACTGTCACAAAGTTAAATCATCCAACAATCGAAATTGCTGCTGACATTATCACGTACGCCAGTAAAGCACTGCACGTAATCTGACGAGACAAACGGAAAACGTATTGGCTAACCTTTGACACTGCGTGGTTGGATATTGCAATTTGATACCAGTCCGTTGGCAGTTGGCAGTTAAATTCAATGAAAGACGTTGAATCTCCGCTTTAGTGATTCATCATGATATATTTTAAATATTTTATTTCATTGGCTGGTGTACGATAATAGTGTCTATATCGAAAGACTCCCGGTCTGCTGTTACTGTAGCTTGTCCCATTACAGAAGCATCTTGCGGAGTTTTCAGTTATAGGGACTACACAGATGTTACCAGACGACCCGGCTACTGAAGACTCTCAGACTGAAGAGTCGGATTCGAATATTCAAGACATGGGCAAAATCGTGAAAACGTGTTTGATTTTCCACAACAATTTTGAAAACGTCTTCAAACGTCAAAAGATATCTGATGATCTTGAAGGTAACAGACTTTACAGAAAATTTAGTTTAATCTTTACGAAATTATCACATAACAGTGTTTAGTCTGATAGCCTATTAAAAGTGTAAATTTAAATATACCAGCCAACCGCACGACGCACGTGCTATTGGGACACTCGCGCATTTTAACATGTCAAAATAAATTCGCATTAATCGCGCGCGCATTTACACTTTCTTCCAGAGCGCTTATATATAAGCGCCATGCTTTTTTCTTAAATTTCACAATAGTCAATTGTACAAAATTAAGTAGTTCTTATTAAATCATTAGCTATGACTCAGTGACTATCAGATAACTGAGTGGCTTGCCAAATGAATGAGTGAAAACTGCAGTAATTAATGCATGGTGTTATAAATCTCAATCAAAAATGATTTTGATAAGCCATGACTTTCCGATCCTTTGTGGAAGTATGCTCTAAACTGCTTTTAAGTTTAACTTTGAGAAACAGCTGCGGTTTGAAGGATATACAACTGTCTGAAAATATACAACCTGAGAACTTCGACGTTTCGAGCGATGGCCCTTCGTAATAGACTGA